AAAAATATTTTGTTGGGAGTGGCAAAAGTCACTTATGTGATCTCAATATTTGACAAGGGCTTGGTTATTAGCTGGCAAGTTGAGGAACACGATTGTATATGAAAAATAAATTCCTAGCTTAAAATAAGCCCTATTTGTTTAAGGTTTTTTCAGGAACGAAATACTTATTTTAAAAAAAAACACTTCGAGAAATTTTACAATAAATAAATGTGACTAAATGGAGTTGCACCACCTCCTACCAACTTTATAAAATAATGAATATTTTTTCAATAGTGCCTAAAGCATGGATGCTGTCCATTAATCGGCTTGAAGAAAAATGGTTAAAAATAAGTTATAATTTATTGCAAAATAGATAACTATAACTAATTTTAATATTTTTCATGTATAACTAATTAGAAAATTATACGAAGGAAATGGAATGATTGAAATTCTTCCGCATAAGTATAAGAAAAATTATACACAGGTATCAAACAAAACTTCGATTATATTTTTCAATATTATCTATGAGTCAATTTTTTTTTTATCAAATTTTTCTGTATTTACTTATAACGAGAATTTATGAGTAATTAATTTTTTATATTAAATTTGTAGATAATTCTCCCTAAATTATAACCAATGATGAACAATGCTTGTCCAATCAAGTTAGGTTAGCTACATCTACTGGAAAACATATTTTGATTTCTTTTGAGAGAGAAAATAAAAAAATAAAAAAATGAACAAACTAGACACTTCAAATTAAATCAAGCACTGTTAAAGAACGATGTCATTTGAATGCCAAATTGTTGTCCTCTAGTGAGTAGTGACTCCATCAATACAATCAGATTGCAGCTTCTTACTTTATCTATAAATACAAATCACAATATCCATAATTTAAATAATATGACGTGACGTAAATATCTTGATAAAGATCAGTTTAAACTTAAAAAGGCTGAATTCCATCAATGTTGGTGGTGAGAAGACATAGTCGTACGTTGTCACGAGTACGATACTTAATTATCTACTATTCCGGTTCCTAATGCTGCCTATAATCTTTGATATAAAAATTCATTAACTAATTCAAGTATATTAAAAAAAATTAGTTAAATTAATTATTTGTAATAAATAAGTGCTATCTTTTTAAAAATATACTTACTAATCATGTGTATTAACTAGAATTAATATTTGATGAAACAGTTAATATATGCAACCACTATAAGACTAATTTGGAAAAATAAATAAATATGAGAGACAAAATAGATTGAAATCTTATATCTAGGATCAAATTGAAAGTTAAATTAACTCTTATATTAAACATTAGAAGTAGCATTGAGCTAAATAACTGATTTGAAAATATTAAGAAAATTAGTTAAATTGGTTATTTATTATAAATGTGTATTTGTCTTTCTAAATTAACCTCTTCAATCATATACAGTGGATGATTGAAATTACCCTTGACAGAAATTTCTTATAATCAATAGGCATATTTTGAGAAAAGAAATATGAGATAAACTAAATAAAGATATTATATTTAGGATCAAATCTAACTCCTAAATAATTTTTATATTAAGGATATGAAGTATTATATGAAAAAGATATTAGTAAGAGAGGCAAAATATATTTCTATAATATTTACGTGTCAAAAGATAGTAGTCATTGGCTGTTGGTGGAGGGATACCATTAATTCAAAAAAAAAATTTTAAATCCGCAGCTTAAATTAGAGCGGTGGTGATGGCTAGCAGCAAAAGAAGATGATGGTTGGCAACTGGTTGGATAAAAGTCACAAAACTTAGAATATGAGTTTAGGCTTAGTGATGTCAAATTATTAAAATCAGCTAGATTGAAAGATTCAAATTTACGTATTTTGTAAATTTTTATTAGGAAGGATGTCCATATTTAGTATTTGATAATATCTTAAATAAGATTGACTTCAATAAAAGAGTACAAACAAATTACATATCTTTAACATAATTTTTTCTTTGGGGTAAAAGAAAGGGGATAGTTGCCCTGCATCATTAATAAGTGGGTTTGTTTATGTCGGCCACAAAAAAAAAAATGGTGGGAGAATGATGGACGGTGACAAGAAAAAGTGGCTGTTGGTAAATGAGGACGAAGATCAACAGTAGAGTAGGATGTGGTTACCGACCAGCCACGGTGGATGGCAACCGACGGTAATGGTTGGTGGCGGTAGACGGTGGCCAATGGTGAGGGGATGGGGGTGAGAAGTAAATGATGACGGTGGTTGGCCGTGGAAGAGGAAGATGGATGACAACAGAGGATGATCGACAATCACATACTACCTTCACTTCTTATTATAAGAGTTTGTTTGACTTTATTTTGATCATATATATAAAATCTCAATCCATTTTGTCTCTCATATTTATTTATTTTTTTCTAATATAATCTTTATAATAATAGTAGTTTTAACTAATACACTTGATTAGTAAGGATATTTTAGTAAAAACAACATTTATTTATAACAAATAACTAACTTAACTAGTTTTCTTAATATACTCAAATTAATCAATTAATTTTTATATTAAAGACTGAAAACAGTATAATACTCCCTCTAGTGTTTAATAATTAAGCTAGTTAGAAAAGTTGAATTTGATTTTAAATATTACCTACTGTCCTAATTATAAGAGCTAGTTGACTAATTTGAAAAGATTAAGGAAAGAAATTAAATTAATTATTTATAATAAATAGGTGTTGTCTTTCTTAAAATATCCTTGCTAATCAAATTTATTGGCTATAACTATCATTGTTAGAAGGACTACTTTGGGAAAAAAATATAAATATGAGAGACAAAGTGAATTAAGACCAAAATAAAAGTCAAACAATGTCTTATATTAAGAATCAGAGGTAGTATATAATTTCAATTCACTTGGTCTCTTATATTTCATTTTTTTTCTAAATTAATTTATCTAGCTTAAAAATTGATATATAAGCAAATGTTATACAGGGGTATTTCAGGAGGGATCAAGTCACATTTATTACAATAAATTAATTTATGTAATTTTTAAATTCTATCTCAATTAGTAAAGTAGTTTTATTTTCGGGAGCCCGCGGGACAACTCACAAGTCTCAACCATAAACCATAAAAGGAAAAGGGCACTTTAGTCTTTTAGTAAGCATTACATTGATTGTGGTTATCTTTAGTTCTAACTTTAGGTTAAAAAAAAACAACACAAGATTTGACACGATCAAACTTTATATTGTAGAACTAATTATCGCATGTAAATACAAATAATCACACATGGCATGATAATGTGAAAACTTGTACTTTCACATTACTTCATGATTTACGAAATCAAACAAGAACTTAATACTGCCTTCGGTCCTAATTATAAGAGTCAGTTAACTAATTTGAGGAGATTAAAGAAATAAGTTGAGTTAGTTATTTGTCCTAAACAGGTATTGTCTTTCCTAAAATATCCTTGTTAATCAAGTGTATTGACTAAAACTATCATTGTTAGAAGGGCTATTTTAGAAAAAAAATATATAAATACAAGAGACAAAATAAATTGGGATCTTATATTTAGGATCAAAATAAAAGTCAAATAGGGTCTTATATTAAAGATCGGAGGTAGTATAATATACTAATTATTTAAAAAAGAAGTCTGGTGGCAAAAAATAAAAAAGAAGTCAAGCAGAACTTTTTTTTTCCCTTAAAACAAAAAAGCTTGTAAATATAATAATAAATGTGAAAGTTTGCATTGAACGCGTCAAATTTTCAGAGGGAGCAACCCTCCATGCTCTTAGCACTCAGATTATAGTGGGACGTCTTTTTGATAGACTCTTCTTTTCTTCTTCTTATCTCATCCTCATCCTTGGATTAAAAAATAAATACTTGAGATTTAATATTTTATAAAATTATGATTATAATATTACATAAAAATAATGAAATAAATTTAGCATAGTAAAATTTGACTTGACTTATTTATTACTGCAGACTTCTTGATAATGGAAATAGTAGTAATAATAACAATAATTTTATAAAACATCAAATCTCAACTATTCATTTTTTAATTTAATAGTGAGGATGTGATAATCCAAATCTCTTGTTTATGTGCTTTGCTGGCATCATATGCAGGCATTTGTTATTATTTAATACGTACCACTCCTTCTAAATATAGGGATTACAAGAGAAGTTCATTTTAATCATATTAATTAAACAGAACACAATGTACTTTACTTTCTTAAATTACAAATTTTTATCTAAAATATCTTTATTGACTGTACATATTAAAAGGGTCTTTCAGTTAAAAGATTATTCCAATACATATAATTACAAAAAAAAAAGGTAGGTTTTTTTTTGGGACTGAAATTAAAAAAAATAAAAAGGTAGTTTAAGAGAATCAAAACAAATTTGTTATAAATAACTAATTTAATTAATTTTTTAATATGTATATTTTAGTTATGTAACTTTTATATTAAGAACCACAGTTAGTAAGTAAAGATACTATATAAATATGATTAAACGGAGTGAAATCAATTGATCAGTTTTTTTTTTTTGGGTCAAAATAATCACTTGATCAGTTTGGAAGCCCATGAGAATCTTAATATTCAGATCAACAAAAGGGACAAGTTCTGACTTGGTACCGCTTAAGCGAGATTTCAAGTTCGAACCTCAGCGTATGCAAAAATTTCTGTTAGGAGACTCACCTACTACAGCCAGATACGCGACGCGGGTCGAGTACAGATGTAGTCGAAGCAAAACTCCGATGAACTGGATAGACAACCAAAAAAAAAGGACAAGTTTTGACTTGCACATTCGACAAAAATGGGTAAAATAAAAGTTAACCAGCCTTTTATTTTCAATTTAGACTTGAAACAGAGTGTCAATTCACCATCCCCTTGGGAGTTCTGAATCCACGAAGGTTACAAACAAATGAAATAAAATAAAATAAAATAAAATTATTTTGAGTATGAAAATATTTCTTACGTCACCAATTTTTTTAAAAAAATAATATATTATTTTTCACTTAAAAAGAAAAACTGTCATGTAGTAGGCAAAGGGAAGATAACTTACCAATTAAAATATTATCAACTGATGCCATCTGATTCAATAAAGAGACTAATGAAATATTCAAAAACAAAATTATGTTGAATGAATATGAACTATGGAGATCAGATACACTAGTATTCCTTCGGATGGAAGATTAAAAACCTCAATATTATACATACAATTTCGTCCTGATTTAGCTCAGTGCGTCAATCAGGATGATGCTGGGTTCTAGTTCAGCTCAGGAATCTCTCTGAAAAGCCACCTTCAACTTCTAGCACACTTCTTTCCACTTTTTCTGGGTACTAAGTTGTGCAGAAGCAAGGCTGGCTGCCATAGCCACAATATTCAGTTATTACCTGTCCCAAATCAAACAATAAAATTATTTTTTTATAACCATGATTCCAGAAGAGGATCCAATTTAAAATATAAATGAAAAAAAAAGAGGCATAATTGTTAGCTACTGGAGATTCATTTGAGTTTTCAGGCTCAATGAGAGTAAACTTGGTAGTAACTCACCATCTGTAGGGTCTACATGTACAAAAAAACTGGCTGCAACAATGAGGTAGCAAAGAATAAGCATCAAGCCTTTAAAATAGTTCGAGGTTCCTTCCTGCAAGAGTCAAAGTAATGTTGAGATATAGCTATCATGAACATGAATGATAGGGGCTACAATGGAAAAAAGTTGTGGGGCGTTTATTACAAATAAAAATATCAGCAAAGTTCAACACGAAACAGAAAACTGAAATTTTGACCAAGCTTCACTGCAAGATGCATATACCAGGACAAACAGAAATAGGACCAACAAAGCATCGACAAGACTAACATCCTTAATCATTATTTTTGGATAATAACATTCTTCGCTATATATGGCACTGGGAAACACTAACAACAGAAAGACAGAAAACCCTCCAAAATGATTCTTCACATCCCTTTCACTGCCTTTACCCATCACATCCCCCTTGCCATCACTTGTCCTCTCATCCACTACGCTCCCATGACCTCCCCTGGTTACTTACTCCATTGTTCAATCACCCTCTCTGCCATAATTTCTTTATCTGGTAAATCTCTCTCTCTTTTTGTTTATTTTTATTTTTCCCCCTTGTCAAATTGTTTATATAATTCTTCAGATCAGAAGCTTTCTTGGACCAAAAGATGAGAAGACTTTTGAGCAGCAAGTTCTTGGGTTTTTCTTGATCCTAGTGATATTTTGAAAGCCTAGGCTGATCTAATCAAGCTCAGCTTATGTCCTAAAGATTGTGGTTTAGGTCACTCAAAGTTGAGAAAACATTAAATCATTAACAAATAATAACGCTGACACGACAACATGCAGGGGGGAAGGAGATCACGTACCTGCAACATAAATGCAACTACAAGCACAGTGATAAAAAGTGTGGCGGTCTCAAAGAGTTGAAAATTCAAGTCCATTTCTATTCCCATGCACCACCCAATAACAACACAGAAAGGGATCTACAATCATCAAAGTGTCCAAAAACAAATCAAATTATTTCTATGACATGGTGAAATCAATGTTAACTCATTCATGAAATGATCTGGTCAGACGTAAATCTCGAATAACCAGTTTATAACCGTTCAAAAGCATACCACAAACATAGATATCTGTGTAGAAGATCCAATAGCAACTCCAAGTGTGATATCCTTCAGAGAAAATGACGCTATCAGTCATGTAGGCAGCAAAATTTGAATAAAATGTAGGGTTTGAAAGCGACTCACAAGCTTATCCTTCATGGCAAACATGATGGCACTTGCATGTTCAGCAGCATTGCCTACAATTGGAAGCAATATGACACTAATAAAAGCCACAGGCATATGCAATGAATCAGATGCCCCCTGCAACAGACCGCAAATGCATTACATATCAACAGACCCATAACACAACGGATCAAACAACAAGGGTTGCAATAGTTCTTCGTTATCAACAAAGAAGGAAGAAGCACATTTTGAACAGTCTAAATCTCAGAAATATAGTCACAAATAACAAAATATCCATAATTCACTTCAAAAAAGTGGATCCAGACCCAAGAAAAAATGTTTTCTTCGCAACACTTGGTCCATTCAAGCTAGAACAGAACTATTCAGAAAGCAAAACCAACTGGGAATATAGACACTCTCTGGCAGTGCAATCTGAGATTTGAATTCAAATTTCCTAGTCTTGGATAAAATCACAGTACCATACAGCCAAAACTCAGTGGTAGCCTAATTGCTATTCTAAGAGAAGGTAGCTTACCACTAGTTTTATCTAGGAAATAAGATAAGGACAGAAATCATATTTATGAATTAAAATGAAATTCTATTTCTATTAGTAAAAAATGAAATGAAAACTAATATGTGATTGTAACTACTTAGCGTTGCTCAAACATAATTCTTTACATGCCTAGATCATTCATGATACCAGCCATAAAATTATAAGGATATGATCCACGACCAAAGTTTCCTCAGTTTATACAGCTGGAGGTAGATGCATGTTCAACCTTTGACAAGTGACAGAATGAAGATTAAAAAGCACTAACAAGTCATAAAAGCAAACACTCAACAATACATAAGGGTAGGAGCATCAAGGAGACAAATATAAGAAGTATAGTGATCAAGTCTTTAAGAAATAGATTATACCTCTATGGCATCCACAAGGTATCCAGACAATACAGATACCCATACTGTCAGAATAGCAAGCCAGCCTATTGCTTCCCATTGAGTTAATTCAATTTCTTCTTCATCATCATTTTCACTATTGCCATCCTCCTACATTATAAAACAAGGATAATACCATTAAATAAGCATCTAAAACAAACATGAAAGCAGCATGAGTACAATATTCTTTTACACTGTAAAATAAATATTAATTTTCTATTTTACATTTTAATCACAATATTAATCTTTCCCTCAAATCAACCCCATTTAGGGGGGGAAAAAAGTATCCCCACTCCGTAGGAAAAAAGAATGCACTCCTTTCCCTTCCATAGGAAATACAGAGAACAGGGCGAGAAAGAAGTTCTGCTCATACCAAAAAATGTCCAGAGAGTGAAGCCATATTATTGTTTACCATTCTTTTTGAGAATCACTTCCACCATGTTTTCTTTCCTTTTTGAATACAGTTTCCTCCTTGTAGTGGTAGTGAAGTTAATTAAATATATTAATCAAGTGACCCAAGTAGAACATCATAAAAGCATTAGTGAATCCTATAATTACGAATTCATTCCTTTTTTGGTCTTCTAGGAAGGGAGGCTTTGTAGTAGCTGTGCGGAAATTTTTATTATTAATACTACCTCCGGTCCTATTTATAAGACCTCAAGGTCTTATAAATAGGACTAGAGGCAGTATATCTTTATTCTCTAAGGCTATATAACCAGCTTGTACCTAGAGGTTCTCTTCCATAATATATGGGTCCTTCCAAGAAATATGGTTTTTAGCAAATACGTAAAATGAGTTAATAAAGAAAGAGACTAAAAATAATTGAATGGTTGCATAAATACCGTGCAGCATATTAGGTCACGAAACTTGTAGCATACGCATACATTCATCTTCTTTGAAAATGAGAGAAATTTGAAAACATAATTTAGCATGAATTATCAAAAGAAAATAGACTTACTTTCAAATATATATATATATATATATATATATGCATTTGGCCTCACCCTGAATTATCAGGCGTCTAACAAAATAATTACAAATCCTAAGGCTCAAACACAACTATAAAGAAATATAAGCGGAGCATAAGTTGCTAACCTGCTCAATAGGGCTATAAAGACTATGCTGATTTCTTAATTGAAAGAAAAGGTAGCTTGCATATGCCACTAGCATTATACAGCTACTAAATCTGGATAGTGATAACTCTGATTTTCCAACATGAACCTCAGAGTGAGTAAAGTGAAGCACAGCAGGAAACAATATTCCCATCACAGCCATCAAGAGTAACCCTGAATTTACAACAGCAGATGCCTGGAGAAAAGGCCAATGTCAATGTTGATATTTTATCACTTTTCAGGGTGATGCTATGGAACATAAAGAGGACAAGAATGAAAAGAAACATTCCAAACCATGTTTCAGATACCTTGTTGAAAAGCTGAACTTTATGGTGGTGGACAATTCCTCCAGTAAAGAAGGCACATCCAAGAACCAGAAGCATATTTGATAAAATTGAGCCCAACAGAGACTGCTGAACAACTCTAATCATCCCATTTTTCAAAGCATAAATGGATATAATCATTTCAGTGGCATTGCCAAATGTGGCATTTAGCAGACCTCCAACTGCATATGCCATAGTAAAGTCAGCAGACATAGACGAGATGCACTTAAGCGTAAGACTTAACAAAACATTAGGCTGTATGCCTTGAGGTATTCATTCTCAAAGGCACTATGTCGTGTCATAACACAACCCCTTGTGCTATTTAGGCCTAGAAGCCACATTACATGGCCAAACTTAGATAGCACAAGGAATAGAACATATCAATATATTTCCATCAGCATTAGCTGTTATACATAGTCCACAAGAAGAGTCGACTGCCCTCTACAGCATAACATCAACTGTTTAACCCCAGTATAATTCATGCATGTTAGAGAACATTAAACATCATCAAAATTTACCAAAAGAAAGAACCGCCCCTGCTGGTTTCAGAATAAAGGTCTGAAGATTGGTTAAACCATAACTGAAGATGCAACATATGTATAGCATTAATAATTTTCATTGCTACTATTTTCAAAATACTTTTTCTCAATAAACTTCATCTCAAATTGGATAAAAGCAACAATCAAATAATACTTGGAAGAAAATTATGCATTCATGCTCCACTACAAAACAGCCACCTCCATTCTCTATAATCTTCATTCATCGTAATAAATTCATTCAACACCTGGTCCATTGCCTTAGGCACAAAGTAGTCCCCTTCTATCAGGAAGGTTATGGGTTCAATCCACAGTGCTGGTTTGGCCCCTTTCCATTCAAAAAATAGATAAACAAAATAAATAAATAATCATATTTCGATCACCTTCCTGAAGATGAATTTGATGTCGAAATGTGGCATGAAGTTTTAGTGAAATAATTCCACATGAAATTAGGTCTAATGTGGGACATCCAAAACTATTAATGGGGAAAAATTTTAATACATCATGCATGGTATCTGCCTACAAAACTTTCAGTCGTTATTCAAACTTACTCTCTCCTGATTCATATGTTGCATTCAATGACTTTAAAATGAAAGATAAAAAGGGAAGGGGGGAAAAAGAAGCTGCTAAAACTACAGACAGAAAACTCCAAACAAGAATAGCATCTCATAGAATTATCATCCATATACAACGATGCATATAATCCTTCCTTTTTATACCCAACAAAGATTTGTACCAGGAAAACTACAACTATACCTGTTGGTCCAGTATACAATGCAAGCTGCCTGCATCAAATGCAAGCAAATTCATCTGTTAGAACTAGAAAGTGATGAAGATAAAATAAGGAAAACAACTAAATGTCCAATTTCTCTGGACAAGGCAATACTTACTCAGTAGCATATCCCAAACGTTCTGCCAAGGGAGTAATACCCAATAAGCTGAAAAAGAACACCCATCCCTAACAAATATGAGGTAATTATTAATAAATTAAAAGCTTAGAAACAACCACAAACCAATAACTGTTAGGTGTGAAAAGGTTTTAAATTCGAGCAGATTTCAAAATTCCAACAATTTGTTACTATCCGGCTGTTATTATCAATGTGCATATCACAAGATTGTCTTTTCCTGGTCTAAAACAAAATTCAAAAGAACCTAAGAAGCAAGTTTTCTGTGATGAAGAGATAGCTATTATGAAATTTTAACCTATTTTCCCTTTTCTAACACCCTTTTTATCTCGTTCAAAGTTCGAAAAACAATAGCAAAAGGATGACAGCGGAGCAGATTCATACATGCTTTTGTGTTAGATAACGTAGCAATATCGCCAATGGACCAAAAGGTAGCAACATGTTGATCTTTGCTTTAAATAGGACAATATATATGCTCCTGAAGGGTCGGATCTGTATCCGCTTAAAGGATGAGCTGGCCAAGCTTCCAGGAGAAAGTACATGTGCTGTCTCAAAATCAAAAGTCTGGACTTTTCCTGAAGATGGTGACGGTCTAAAAGCAATCTCCTCATCTGAGTCAAGGTCTATTTTATCCTCTGCAGAACCCATCTGCATCCAGAGATAACAAATATGGCAACTTTTCAGCCAAGCTAATATCAATGCAGGGACTCAAGAAGTGTATCAACTGGCATTTTGCAGCACAACAAATAAATAAATGTATCCCCCAAATGTAGATTACTGCACTCCATCAGTCTTTAGAATGATTAGCAGTTATTCAGTCAACCGTTTTCGCGAAGCAGTACATAGAACTATGTGGCCAGCATCCAGCGCCACATGCTCAAAGCTTCATGTCACTATTTCGGCTCATTATGGATTTGAAATGCAACTAATCTCAATGAGTATATGCATGCATCGCCAATGATAACAACGAGATCAGTAAAAACAAGCCATGGGCAAGTCCAAAGGCATCAGATTTGAGCAAAATCCAAACGATATGGTCGAGGGTGAACCATAAATCAGTAGTGCTACATCGTAATTGATGTACAGCAGATCAGTTGACAAGTTACAACTCACAACCAAGTAAAAAGTGGCAGCAGTCACGAAGCCCGCCAAATAACCAGATCAATCGCAAAAAGATAGACGATAAAGAGAATTGCCTGAGAAAGTCACTGGATTTGAATTGAAGAGTACTAAGATCTTCAGGGTGGATCCAGCTCTGCTAAACAACAAACAGAGAAAAAAAAAAAACTCAGATTAAAGAAAAACAAGAGACCCAGACAGGTGGGATCCACACAAAGAGCATCTATCTATATATCTCCTTGAACTTCTTGGCAGCTAGATATTTTATGTGGGTCAGTGATTAAGGAACAACAAAGAGAGAGTTAAGCTAAGCCGAAGAAGTAGCAGAAGAAGACGAAGAGAAAGAAAAGGGGCAAAAAAGAGGCGAGAGTACTATTCAAATGTGGCGTAGACAGCCGGCAAATGGAAGAAAGTCTCACGAAACGAAGGTTCGACGAAAGAGCGCCTCTTGATATATTTTCAATTTCTTACTTCTTATGGGTTTCCGTAATTTAATATACTTATACTTTCGCTTCTGAAATCTGAACACAAACCAATTTTTATACGTTTATGATTGATTCTTCATTGATTACTCAGAAAGATATCATTGTTTCCATTAGACGAAGTGGGAGAATTACAATTAGATTTCGTCTGACAATTGAGACAAGACTTTGACCCAGAAATATCACTTGACCTTTTGCTTCTTTTTTCTTTTCTTCTCGGTTTTAACAATTAAATTTAAGCATTTTCAATAACCAAAACAAAAAATTTAAGCATTTTACTTGTCCGGTAAAAACAAAAATTTTAAATTTGACAAAAGTTGAATTATATTGATTTTAAAAAATACTTTCATTTTTGTTATTGATTTTAAATTATATTATCTGAAAATTGACAAAAAAAAATTGAGAACTTATCCATAAATACATGTTTGAAAAAGTATACGCCCAATATCCCTTGAAATCTAGAAAAGGTGTATTGAAAACATATAATTTTAAATTCGGAAAGCATTAAACAATTAATTTTTTGAGTAGATATTTATGGACAATTTTTTAAAATTAAATTTATTTTGTATTACCGGGCTCAAGTGAGCATGAACGACATAGGATAGTGAATAGACAAGCCGTTGGGTTTGATTCTTAGCTTTTGTATTTTTTTTTTTTGTTAGAAAACAACTCAATTGAAATTGGTGTACTATTTGTTATTATATGGCGGAGCATATTCCTTGCTGATTAAAAAAAAATGCATTGTACAACATAACTGAATTATTACAATTTTTTTTAAAAAAATTGGATTATCTCTAAAATTTGACCTCGTTTTAATTTTAATTCTGAGATAGTATTTTTGGTTTCTAAAATAACAAACAAAGTCAAAGTGAGGTTAGAGAACCAAAACCCAATAGTGCCAAATTTTATGGATCAAAACTATTCGTTTCAAATTTTAAAAACTAAAATCAAAATAATGTCAAATTTTTAGGACCAAAGGTAGTATTAACCAAAAAAAATTAATACTTCTCCTGTCCTTAATATAATAATTAATTATTATGTTGATCCTGATCTTAAATATAAAATATAATTCTTATATTATCAATTTTTCCTAGATTACTTATATTGATATATCATCAATCATACCAAGTAAGGAAAGATGATTATAGCATTTAGAAAATACGTTATATTTTTCATAATTAACTAACTTACCTAATTTTTTTAAGCAAATCAAATTAGTTAAATAAATTTATATTAAATACCAGAAGAGTATAATGGACACGAGTGTTTTTCATGGGCTGGGTCCTTATTAGGCC